CCGAGCCACCCCGAGGTGGCTCGGCCACCGAGCCACCGAGCCACCTCAAGGTGGCTCGGCTGAGGCCGAGCCACCTTGGGGTGGCTCGGCTTTGGCCGAGCCCCCGCGGGCGGTGTTTTCCGACTTTTTCGAGTCGTTTTCCGTTGTCTCGTTTGTCCGTGTTTCGGTTGACCTGAGACTCTGATTTGATGATCTGATTTGGCAGTAATTTGGATTCCTGATTTGGCAGTAAATCCGCTTCTGAGTTCGAGTCCGAAATTGATCTTGATTCGATCGTGATTCGTCCGAGTTTCCCCTTGGTTGGATGGCTCGTTGATTCCTCAACTCATTAGCTTGATTCTGCACGCGGGTGGATTCATTCCGTTGTTCGCGTGCGATTTGTCGATCTCGTCGCCTCGTTGGTTCGTCGGTTTGTGCCGAGCTGTATTAAGGGACCTATAAGCAATTTTATATGCCTACAGATACCCCCTCCAAAGTATTTCAGCCTCGTTCTTTTATAGAAGAGTCTGGAATACTTTGGATATGATTGTCCCAACCTTCAGTCGGCGTAATGGGACTTTGGAATGACTTCCGTTCTTGATTCCTTCAATCTTCCAGGCTATTCGGTGCTTTGTCGAATGTCTGTAAGAGTTCCGGTGCTGCATTTATTGTCTGACCGTTGTCGGAATTTTAAACTTGAAGTCGATTCCTGACTTTCTAATCTTTAGCTGACCATCGATTGTTGGCGTCGAGTCTTTATCTGCAACGCGTTGTCCGGCGTAGTGTTGTTGAGTTATCCTTAAGAATATTTATAAAAAAATATTCTCCAGGAACTTCTCAACTAAAAATAGGGAATAGTTTATACTCATATACCTTATTGGAGTGATTTCTGTGCCCGAATGAGCTGAACCGGCTTGATAATGAGCCAAAAAAGGTAGTAATTCGGCTCAAAAAATTTCCTGATCCTTCCGAATATGTGGGAGAGGCAAGAATAAACCAAGGACTGAACCCTCGGTCGATTTGAAGTTGTTTCGATGCTTGATTCAACTTCAATCTGAATTCTGGTTCAAACCAGGTCTGGTCCGGTTCAACTTGGTCTGGTCCGGTTTAACTTGGTCTTGGTTCACATTATAAAAGAGGGTTTTTTACCCCTTACTAGGGCCGGGCCCCCCTCTTCCGGTTCAAAACCGGTCCGGTCCGGTTCAAGGCCGGTTTGGTTCAAGGCCGGTTCACCCTACAAAAGGGGTCTTTTTTCTTTTCTTTTCCCTCACCTAGGGCCGGCCACCTCTCTCTCCTCTTTTTTGAATTTCTCTTCCCTCGAGCATCCGTTCTCCCTCAAAACTTGATATCCGTCTTAGATCTAGCATTCCTTTGGATCTTTGACTGAGAAATCCCTCGAAACTTCCATTTTTAGAATTTCTCTCAGGCCCCTCGAGCGCGTGGTTCGAGCACTTTTCAAGATCTAATTTTTATTGGATCTTCGAGCTTTCCCTCAGGTATATCTTCCATAATTTTAGCATTTTTTTATGCTTAATTTAATTTATGAACTTGTGGGATTGCATGCGAGGGTTAGGATTATGATTTGGCGCCTCGAGCTTATCTTTCAGGGGGTAGAATTGCAATAAAAAGAGGATTTTTTCTAGATCTGACCTCTTGATTTATTTTGTAGGTCATTATGTCGCGAGTCTCGAGAGGTCGTTCCCCTGCTGCATCGGCTGACGGCGTGCTTCCTTCATATGCTGGTGAGCTACTTTTTGCATATTTGAAATTTTGCAAATTAGCCCTCTTTTTCTGAAAATTTGGAAATTGGTCCTTTTAACCCCACGTTGTTCTCCTTGGTGAGGCAATCGGGAAGAGCCTTGATTCTCCTTGGTGAGGATCGACGCTTTAAAGATAAAAATTTTACAAATTAACCCTCTTTTTTTCTGAAAATTTGCAAATTGGTCCTTTTACCCCACGTTGTTCTCCTTGGTGAGGCAATCGGGAAGAGCCTTGATTCTCCTTGGTGAGGATCGACGCTTTAAAGATAGGTTTTGCTTGGTCAAAACCATATCTCAAAATAAAGGGGGCGTTTTGACACTGCATTGTGTTTTATAAGGCAGGGATATATTGTCGATATGCCCTATCTTATAAATGCACAATGTGGCCAAATCGTCTCACCCTTTATAAGGTAACGACTCTATCTTACCGATTTGTAAGATGAGTTCATTTTTCTTTTATACCTGAAATTAACAAACACTTAATTGCTTGTTTTCAGTGGAGTATCCTTCCGGAGCTTTTTCATCGCATGCGGTGAATGGACGTCGTGACGAATATTATTCGACGTCTGATGATTTTTCGCCGATTCCACCTGCTTCCCAGTTTGTTCCGGGCACGTCGACAGAGGTTGCCCAAGTGGTGAAGGAAGGTGGACATCGAGCCCTTCGTCAGCTGATTACAGATGCGCCCCTCGTGAAGGATGCTAGTTCCGTTCAGTCTCTCAGGAAGACTGATTTCTTGTTTGGCGATTCTGTCAGAGATCCCGATGCAGCATTTATTGACGCCGAGCAGTGGCGTTCTTTGACTGAGCTCAGGCGTCAGGCTGTGAAACGGGAGATGTCGTGGCGTTTGACAGAGGAGCATGAGAGCGTTCACTGCGGCTACATTACTCATCAGGCAGTTCCTGGTTCGAGCAGGAATCACATTGTTGGACTGCGTCCTGGAGTACTGGGGCTAGATGCACCGCCCCGTAACGAGTTCCTTGCCTCTGCTTCCACTTTGAGGAATCGCCTTTTGACAGAGGAGCATGAGAGTGTCCACTGCGGCTATGTTACTCATCAGGCAGTTCCTGGTTCGAGCAGGGATCACATTGTTGGACTGCGTCCTGGAGTACTGGGGCTAGATGCACCGCCCCGTAACGAGTTCCTTGCCTCTGCTTCCACTTTGAGGAATCGCCTCGCTACCTTAGGATGGGAGATGCCTGCAT